CAGATATTGGTCTAACCAGTCTGAGTATGAGGCGGAAAATGTTTGACGTTAGTTGGATCCATAGTTTATTAAATAATAAAATTGACTGTCCAGAAATTCTTGATATTATTCCTTTTAATGTTCCTTCAGTCCATTTACGGTCTCAAACGATGTTTTATGTTTCTTCTGTCCAACAGAACTATAATCTTTTTGCTCCGGTCAATCGTATGTTATTAGAATGTAATGAAGTTTGTCATAAAGTGGACTTCTTTTTTAATTCTTTAGATATAATAAAGAGATCGATTATATAGTTAAGAATCTTTACTTATATTGTTTGTTTTTATAATAAATTGTATGCTATAAATTTATTGATGTCTAGTTTAAGTTTTATTAACTGTACTCTTGCCCTTTGGGGCGTTAATTTAGTAAATAAATAAATAAATAAAAAATAAATAAATAAAAATTTATATTTCATATTTTAGATTCATGTTATGATAGTAGTCACTATCAATATCATGGTTGTAAAGGGTAACGGGAAATCTGAGTATGATTCTAGAGAGAAATTCTGAGAAATGGCAACCACATCCAAGAAAAACATCAGGCGCGTAAATTACCCACTCCGAAACGTGGAGGTAGTGACGAAAAATGACGATACGGGAATCATCCTTTGTAATCGAAGTGATTACACTCTGTATCTCTTAATGAAAAGAAAACGCGTTAATTAATAAATTTTAATAGTAGTTAATATAAATAAATATATATGTATATATTTATGTGTATATATATATACATGTAATGTGTAATGATGCAGAATTTAATTAGTTTTTTTAATAAATGTTATCAATTTGAGGTGTGTGCAGTAGGTGTAAAGTATTTTAATAATTGTGTATATGATAACCTCCACTAGTCAACCGGTCTGATATCTGTCATCAGCTGACCGTACACTGTGCACCTGTACCAATATTGTTATGTCCCCTCAATGAACGTGTTCAAAGTTGGCACCACCACCACCCGGCGTCACGATCGCCGGCCACTACACAAATGCCGCTACAACAGATTTTTTTCTCTCACCTATACTTCCAAGGCGACAAGTCGTGTTTTCTGTATATATATTTGTCTGTGAAAACCACGTTTTTTGTTACATTTATTTTTTTTGTCCTCCGTTTTTTTTATTAAAATAAACGTCGAGATGATGATGATGATGGTGATGTGAGGCGCAACTATGGCCGGTGGTGGGCCATCACTCCTCAAGATCAATAGCAATAAGTATAACTTGAAACCCCCCTGTTCTACCCATTATTAATATTGTTAATAGAGCACCTCCTTTTTGGTTCCTTTTTTTATTATTCTTCCTTTATGAAAATATATATTTAAAATAACAATTATAAAATTTTAATCATTAATTAAAAAATGTTATTATATTATACATGGCCTCTTTTGTTTTTCTCTCTCTATACTTTTCCCTCATTTTTATTAATATTTGTTTTTTTTTTTGTTTTTATCAAAACCTAGTAGCTCCGTCAACAAGTACTATCTTGTTTGGCGCGGCTACTAGGTCACTGTCCAGTGTTCCCCCTGGGCAGTGGGTAATTAGTAGGCCCTCTGGTTTGGCTGAAACCTTACAAATGCTACTTATGTAAGTAAACGTATCATGCACGACGTATAGCCGTTTATATATATATATATATATATATTATTGATGACAAGCACGTGTGTACAGGTATGAAAACCAAAAATAAAGTTATACAGGAAAATATTGTTTTTGGAGAGTGGGACGGGATGGGGTGAATGCGTTACGACAGTCTAATCTCAAGACCATAAACGACCAGATACGCGAAAATTATAACACGTGGCGAGTGGAGAGTTACAAACAACACACAACAAACAACATACATGTGAAACTAATATAAGAGTGTTAAAAATGCTTAACTATTTGTTAAAAATAGTTGGGTCCAGTATAGATGATATCTGACAATGATTATAATCATTATCATAAAAAACCCTTCGATGCAAATCTGTAGATAGTGTTTAATATTAAAATATTGGTGGATTATTCCAAAAGCATCACGATCTCCTAATTCCTTATTTATTTTCTGATTACAAGTTTTATGATTTTTAGTGCAATATATGTAACAATATTTATTAAGCTATTAAATATTGTATGGAATATATATTTAACAATTTAGTGTTGTAATTTTTACGAAGAAATTATTAAAAATTATAAAGTAGTTCTTACTTTTATGGCGAACGTATATATAAGTTGAAGGTGATACAATACTTAGAAAAAAAAAATTGCTCATTATATACAGATAAATTTAGTGGTCAACAAGGAATTTTTATCCGAGACCAAAATATACTTTTCTAAATCCATTTATGTGCCGATTTTAAATCTGCAATTAGAGTTTCGTATATGGCCAACATAATAGCCAAATCCTTCTAATTAATATAATAAATAATTAGGCTTGTTTATTAGGTTACTTATCAAAAATCAATAAATAAATTATAATTAAAAATAACTTGAAAAAGTTCTATTTTATATACGTATTTTTTAATTTCGAGCCTCCCTTGTAGAGAGGGAAATTGTCCGATTTAAAAAAAACTATGTCGAATGAAAGAAGTAAAGAAATAAAAAAAAAAAGCACAGTGGGGTCGTGGTATAGTTGGGTCCAGTATAGATGATATCTGACAGTGATTAAAATCACTATCATAAAAAACGCTTCGACGCAAATCTGTTGATGTGTTTAATTTAAAAAAAAAATTTGTTAAAATAACATATTTTTGAATACGGTAGCCATTTACGCATAGAAGATAAGTCGTCGGGACAAATTTTTTTTTTATTATTTTATAGTACATAAAATAAGCTTTAATTTGATATATGTTTAAAGGACGCTGTATTTCCGGAACATTTTCAAAAATGAAGTTAAAAAAGTTAGTTTTTGTAAAAAATTTGCTATTTTAAATCCCCGTCAATGAGCAGGTTAAGTGTTAGATTTTCAAAAAAATGATATCAAATAAAAAGAAAATATCTAAAGTTTAAGTATAAAAAAAATTATGTTGATTTGTTTATTTTTTAAAAAGTTATGGAAGTTTTAAGAAAAAAAAGTGAAAAAAATGACAAAATTTACCGATTTTTAAATTTGTAATTTTTTTATCCTACTGTGGTCCAACAATACATTGTCTCGCCCACTAAGTTGGCGACCCTTTCTTTTTGTATATTTCAACGCTCTATGAAAATTAAAAATTTTCCGTTATGGCCAATTTATTCAATTTTGTTATGATATTTGTAACTTTTCAAGATCGAGGGAAATTTTTTCAATTTCTAAGGGTAATGTCTTCAACTAGATACGAATTGTGATCTTTTGACGTATTATTGAAAGAAATCGGTGCAGTGAGAGCTGAGAAAAATTGGTAACAAACAAAAAAAAAAAAAAAAATTAAAAAAAAACTCTTCATAGTAAAGTTAATACTTTTTCAGGTTTGCATTTTTTTTTATATTTTTAACTTTTTGAAAATATATAAATCAATACAATTATTTTATGATAAATACTATTTATATCCCTCTTTCATTCGACATACTTTTGATTTAATGTAGCTTTTGGAATAATCCACTAAATTTTTAAAATTATACACAATCTACAGATTTGCATTGAAGTGTTTTTAATTATAGTGATTTTAATCACTGTCAGATATCTTTATACTTGACCCAACTATTCCACGTCATCATTGTCCTGCGACATCTCTATGCTGGTTTTTTTTTTGTTCTTTAACGTTAATCAATTATTTCTGTCAACTGCGTGGCAAAAAGTTGTAATAAAAAGAGTTACGAACATCAATATCTGGCGTCCGATAAGAATATCAACGAATCATCAAAATAAATATATTTTTTATTTAATTAATTGATAACAGTATATTTGTTTACTTTCCCATGTGATCATGATAATACAATGTTTTTGAAATTTGAATTAGTGTATTAAAAATTATCACATTATTTTCGCAAGCCAACTGGGGCTGTTTAAAAGTTAAGTGCGGTCTCACTACACTAATTACAGTTATTAGAGTTATTAGAATATTTGAAATATTACTTTTGTTATGTTATGGCATATGCATTAATTTTGCATAAGTCAATCTTCATATGCCATTTTTCGAACGTGTAATATTGTTATTATCACATAATATTAAACATATTGAGAATTTTGAATAATTCGGAATGATTTTGTTCCAAATCCATATGACGGAAAATAAAAATAACGTTTTGCTTCAAGAACGGTTTATATTGTGTCGTCGGGAGAGATGAATACATAGTAATTAGTTGCAAAGAGTTAAAATAATTAATACAAGCAATTTATAGAACATTAAATTAAGTTATAACACATACGTTTAATTTAACTGCGCGCGTAGAATCTGTATACTAGATCATTGTATGAATTTAAAAATATATGCTTTGTAATAACTAACGGTATTATATTATAATATACTGTCGTATTTATACTGCTTCATTAAGTTTATCTAAAACGAACAAATATTTTTGCGAATATTAGAAATATTTTTTTGATGAAATAAATATCATCTCTGGCTGTCGCTATCGATAGTGTTTTTACCACTTCCTAATTATCAAAGTATGTTTATATTTTTCTTAACAGAAGGCACATGATGGAAGAAAGAGAAGCTCAACGTCAAATGGCTACCAAAATGATG